ACTACATCACTGCGGGCAACATTGTCATGAAAATTTAAAGAAAAAGAAAAAAATGGTTCTCAATTTGTGTTTTTCGCATTTTGTATGTTTTCAATTGAATCGGCAATAGCTACGCCCACATAAGCTCCAAAAATGAAATAAATTTCGCCTATCCAACCCACTCCACACACGGCCTATCAAAGGACATCCCTGATAGCAGAATTCTGAGAATAAAATAGTAAAAATTAAATAATGATACTCATTCATTTCTCTAGTTAGACGAGGAATGCAAAATAGCCGATATCTGTCGACACGACCAAGTCCCGATATGCGGGATCGACTCCTGTGGGGAAATGAGGACTTTTATAGATACGTGCGACATGCATGAATATAATTGTGACAGTAAAAAGGGTTTGTAATTTTTTTTTTTTTATCTTGGACAGTATTTTATTGTACAGATAGCTGAAGGGCGACCTCGGTATTGAGTGGTTACCAGAACTTACGCAGAACATTATGTGAATGCCCACCGGCCATCTTGAGATATGAAGTCTCAACCAACCCGGAACACATGACAGCATTATGGCATATGCAGATATACAAACCCGCACAGGCTTATATCCACTGATTAAAATATATCTACAGTAGTCTGCAATAGGAAATACTGTTACAGGTTAGAGGAATATGTCTCTTGCATTTTTATTACATTTTTGGCTTAGCGTAGGTTTCGCACTGTGATCAAAGCTAGCGTTGGCACGTATGATTCAGTCTGTACGTTTTATATAAGCTTAGCGACAAGCATTTGAAGAGGAGCTCTGAGAATACAGTGACCATGTTTATAGATTTAGCGATTCATCTTTGCATTACGATTAATTATTACCGATCTAGATCAAAATTTTGATACTGATTATCACAGAATGTTTCTCGACATATTATTATCAATTTACTTTATACGTTTATTATTTGTTTTACTATTGTTTACCAAATACGTGTACCTCTGTGTTTCAGTTTTATTTTTGTTTTGTTATATACTTTTTCACCTTCTACAATTTATGTTTGTTCCTCTAATATTGATTTGCTGGAGGAAAAGTCATGTTTGAATTAAACTCACGATTGTGCATACCAATGTAGTTGATGCTTTTTGTTGTTGATAAATTGTGCCAATTTCTGAGTACATTAAACAATACACTCTAATAATAATAATCTTTAGAAAAATCACACAAAATTCAAGCCTTATGTCAGAGCCTGTAAACATATTTTTGCAGACTTCAAAGATCTACCAAACGACCTAAAACCTATTAGTCTAGTCGACAAGTTAAAAATGGTGTTAATTCGACATACTACTGCTAAAATTATGTGGTTTAGCTCATTCGATTCGGAATAATGTCTAGACCATTGTGCTAAAAAATTGAATTAGCACATAAAAAATTCCAAAAGTTATTAACAATTAAACACCTTCAAAAAATAGCGTTTCGTTTATTGCTTATTGTCCGTAAACTATAAATATTTTCGAAATTTGAAAAAAAGATCCTTAAAGAGGAGGAAATTTAGTAAAAAAAAGTTCCAACTCCCGGAACTGTAGCTCCATTATTTATAATTTTAATTTAACGCTGAAAATAGCCCGCCGCGCGCCATTGTTAGGTTGCGCGCACGGCCTCGAAAGCGAGTACGTCACTTAAAAAAATTTTTTTCAAGTACTTAAAGTTAATTGAAAAATCTAAAAAAATTATTGCATAATCTAAACACTTTAGAAAATTTATTCCCGTTGGAATTTTTTATAAAAACATATTTTTCAATATTCTAGACGATTGTTAATTAAGAAAAAAATTTCCAATTTCCATCATCCTTCTAAACTAAAAAAAATGTTTAAATAATTACCTTAAAATTATTTCGCTTCGTGGACCTCTTCTTATAAATATATTAAACAAGATTGCGTCGTCTAAGTTATGAAATTGTTAATATTTTGTTAATAATAATTTTTTTAAGTTAACAAAAAAGAAAAAGAACAATTATGTTGTAAAGAATTTTTTTTTCTTTATTTACTATTATATTTTCGTTTTTATGTCAATAAAAGACATCTTTTAATAAAATATATACTATATAATAAAATATATAATAAAAACGAAAATATAATAATAAATAAAGAAAAAAAAATTCTTTACAACATAATTGTTCTTTTTCTTTTTTGTTAACTTAAAAAAATTATTATTAACAAAATATTAACAATTTCATAACTTAGACGACGCAATCTTGTTTAATATATTTATAAGAAGAGGTCCACGAAGCGAAATAATTTTAAGGTAATTATTTAAACATTTTTTTTAGTTTAGAAGGATGATGGAAATTGGAAATTTTTTTCTTAATTAACAATCGTCTAGAATATTGAAAAATATGTTTTTATAAAAAATTCCAACGGGAATAAATTTTCTAAAGTGTTTAGATTATGCAATAATTTTTTTAGATTTTTCAATTAACTTTAAGTACTTGAAAAAAAATTTTTTAAGTGACGTACTCGCTTTCGAGGCCGTGCGCGCAACCTAACAATGGCGCGCGGCGGGCTATTTTCAGCGTTAAATTAAAATTATAAATAATGGAGCTACAGTTCCGGGAGTTGGAACTTTTTTTTACTAAATTTCCTCCTCTTTAAGGATCTTTTTTTCAAATTTCGAAAATATTTATAGTTTACGGACAATAAGCCATAAACGAAACGCTATTTTTTGAAGGTGTTTAATTGTTAATAACTTTTGGAATTTTTTATGTGCTAATTCAATTTTTTAGCACAATGGTCTAGACATTATTCCGAATCGAATGAGCTAAACCACATAATTTTAGCAGTAGTATGTCGAATTAACACCATTTTTAACTTGTCGACTAGACTATATGTACCAAAACAAATATTTCAACTGGACCCCACACTTGGTGTCACCTTATCTCAGACGCCCACACTGGCGCCATTGAAGACTCTCGAGAACATTTGAGCTCTACGCGAAGGATATAAGATTCAAAATCATAAATCTATCTTCGTAGTCATTGTAGGAATTTGTTTGTGAATCTCGTTCAACGCTGAATATTGAAAATTGTTGGATGGAATACCACAATATATTTTACGCAGCGTATGATTTCTGAAATCTCTAATATAACAATACATTACATTTCACTTATATCCGCACTGGTAGGTTTGTTAATCAAGTAAAAATAAACTCACCCATTTACAATGCTTAAATTCGAGACCAATAAATATCGTCTGGTATGATTTCATGTTCAAACTGTACCTAATAGAATAGCGCATGTAGTTGTATGTTCTGTGACATTTCTTTCTTCCATTTTTTTTTGCCTTTATAGGCGGACGAGCATACGGCCCACCTGATGGTGAGTGGTTACCGTCGCCCATGGACTTCAGCAATGCCAGGGGCAGAGCCAAGCCGCTGCCTACCGCTTAATACTCTCCACAAGCCTCGTTTGAAGAAGGACATGTCATAGCGCTCGGGAAACACCGTGGAGGGGAGCTCATTCCATAGCCGCATGGTACGTGGCAAATAAGACCTCTGGAAACGCACTGTCGATGAACGCAGCGGTTCCAGATAATATGGATGAACTATGCTCCGATAGCGGGAGGTGTGACGATAAAAAGGAGATGAGGGATAAAGTTCCAATAAAGTTTAAAAGGAGCCTCAACGTTAAGATGCAGCTTAACTGAACCCTTGTTGGTGTCATTGTTTTTTATATCATTAGCTTGATGTAATATAGGTTAATTTGTCTTTTATATCATTAAAAGAGGCCTTACATAATTTTATAACAAAATTCACAATAGATGACAAAGGAAGGGCGGATATCACCTACTTCGTTACGAATTTTTTAAATTAAAGCTATGTATTATCAGTTCAACAAACAGATAATTAGTTAGTTTTCGTTGCTTTTTTACAGATTTCATTCAAAAACCAGTACACGAATGCTGGGTCACTTGTAAAAGAGGGAGAAGTTTTAAGAAGCCAGAATACGGTGCAAACTGCGACATAGAAAATATGATAACACCTTAAAATATTAACAACTCAGAGTCTTTATTAACAAAACATATGAAACAATAACTTACAATATTGCACTTATTGTTTCGAGATCACAGTATTTAAATATTTAAATTCTAAAATATTTTTAATATAAAAAAATATAAAATTAAAATTTACGATATACGACCTCTAAAGTCACACCGGTTTTACTATCGTCAGTAAACTAACTTAAACCTAACCTGTTTACCCAAATTTTTCTAAAGAACACACATTCATAGTTATTGTTCTTGATAACCTAGTAACTTAATTAATTACATACGACACTTAAACTACTTAACTACTATATTAATAAAACAAGTCTATCCTACAAAATAATAATAATAATAATATAATAATAAATGGGAACAAATCACGCACGGTCATCCGAACTCAAATTAGGATTCCCTGTTTTATAGGTATCAGAGATTGACATACATACTTATATAGGTTTAAATATATACATATAAAAAAAATAAACACCCAGACAAAGAGCAAAAAAACTTATTCGTCACACAAATGTTTGTCCGATGTGGGAAACGAACCCACGACCTTCGACGCAACAGCCGGGAGTGCTAACGACTGCACCACCAAAACAAAGAAGGTAACGATTTACTAAAACCACCATTATTATCATGGCTATTTGGACCACGAAGCAATCTTGCGTTCCGGTTTGGACGGAAAGACATATATTGTGACAATGCAGTTAAGACTTCACCTTAATTCGCAAACTGGCGACATTTACATCGGGGTGACTATAGCGATAGGCAGCGGCTTGGCTCTGCCCCTGGCATTGCTGAAGTCCATGGGCGACGGTAACCACTCACCATCAGGTGGGCCGTATGCTTGTCTGCCTACATGGGCAACAAAAAAAATCTTCGATACCAGCTTAGCATTGGATGAGATGTGAGCTCATCTGTCTATCTTGGCATATAAACTAACAATTACACACACTGAGGTAATCTAAGAACATAATTAAACCCTAAAACCTAGCAAATACCGACAATGTTACGACATGTATTATGAAACGAAGCGATGGTGTTATTTCCAAAGAGCCGTTAGAATCTTACAACAGTTAAATGGTAATATACAAGATTAAAACTACGTTAATAATCAACATTCATTCCGTATAACATCAAAGTTGACCCACACGTCAAGGGTTACTTCATAAGATAACGAATGACTTAACAGAATTAGCTTGCGGAAGGCATATTTTTTACAAAACTATGAGAATTTTCTTTCGAGTACAGATTCACTAGGTCCACTACAGATTTATCTAATCTAGTCACACATACCATGAATCATAAGTTAATATTTCTATTAATCTATACTGATGTAAATATCTAATGTCTATCTAAAAATCCTGCGTTTTTGACGATATGATAAATACTCTCCCTCGGTATCTTTTCTGCTTCTCTCTCGATAACTTGCATCTCTTTGTTTGTGAACCAGGACTCTTTGGCCAGTCCGGCGGCAATGTTAGGGTTGTCGTAAAAATCTCTCGATTTAAGAAGCTCCCTTGGTAACAAGGCTTCGCTGGCTGCGGTTTGTTCTACAGCTGGGTGAGGGCGGACAGCCGGACCGGACGTCTGGGCGTATTGTATGCCCAGAGGTTGTAATGGAGGGACGAATAGCAGGCCAGGATAAGCTTGGGCCACGGCCAATGTTACGGCAACGATAAGAAGACGCATTTTATATCTGCAACAGGGTTTAATAATTTTCAGGTTTCATTGGAAATAACTTCCGAATATAATTAAATATAGAAATAAGAATATAGATTAAGATTCTTATTGACTACAAAAACCGTAAAGTATCCAAAACGTCGTAACTTGTTTTTTTTAAATCGTATGTGTATAACTAAAGATTAATTCGTAAATAGCCCGCTCTTTCGTTTTCTTCGTCAAACAAAAATAATACAAATCGCTTTAATTTCAATTTCATTGTTTCTATTTTCTTTTATTTATTTATTAAAAATTAAATAATGTTATACACAAAAAAATATACTGCTGCGACTTAATAGCTACAATTGTGGACTCGTTCGCGCATCAATGCAATAGATAAAAAACACATCAAAACGCCTCTGATTCAAACTTCCTTTACATCAACCATTTGACCAAATAATAACCCGAATTCCCTAAATCTCAAAACTCCTAAAAACCAGACCCGCTCAGTCTGACGTATTTCATCAAACTCAACCGAACCTCGTAAACATTACACAAACTTAACTGACGACAATAATGCAATACGGATTGTACTATAATATCCGGAGAGAATACACAAAAGGCTTGTCTCGTAGATTGCAAAGTAAATGATTGGATTCGTCACGTAGTCATGTTGAAACCGAACTTTTAAGGCCAAGAGAAACAACAAAGCAATCATTATTTTTAACTGAATTAATAAATCAAACCAGTACCTAATATTTGACACCAGTTAGTAGAATTAGGAAATGCTGAGACGCGCTGTATTAACGAAATCATAGAATGGAAATCAAACTTCATTATTTGACTTAATCATGAATATTTATTTCCATGTACTTTTCTTATTTATATAATTATATTTTCCAAAACATTCATTGGTAATTAGTAAGTAGTCTATTAATTCTAGCGGGGACAAAATCTTAAGAAAAGTACATGGAAATAAATATTCATGATTAAGTCAAATAATGAAGTTTGATTTCCATTCTATGATTTCGTTATAACACGACAACCGTCTTGTTTGCGAATTGCGAATATTCTCTTCAATTATTACTTTAGAAGTTATTGGACAACTTAATTATATTTGAGAATTTTATTCTGATGTCACAATACTAAAACGGATTCAACTTAAAATAAAACTTATTACATAACGCAATATTATATAAGACCACACATTGCCTGTAACGATTACATTGCAATAAATTTGCATCTACTTATTCAATAAAAGAATCAAGTTCAATCACGATTTCGTAATACTCTTAGATTCACTTAGAATTTCTACGGAGATCAAATGAACATCTCGAAAACCGTTCTCACTGCAATTATTCATTGATGCGACCACACGAGCCTACTCTATAAGACTGTATGAATTACGAAAACAAAAACAAACTTCACGCAACAATTACGTACTAACACTTGATCGTAACGCGTTATTACACTTACATTAGTAAAGTCACGGTCAATACAGCGCACTGGCGATCACTGCGCGGCCGCAAATGAACAGCGCAATATATAGCCTCTCAGCATCGGCCTTCGGAGACGTTTCCGGGATTGCGATCTTATTTTGATGGGAACGCAGCTGTTCATATCAATGAAAACGGATTTTAGCTTATAGTCGCCAAAAAGGACCTGCTTCGTCAGCAACTGGCAAATAGGTCATATTAACTCAGACCTGCTTACATTAATATCTCCGGATAATAAAGAAAGAGCACAGTTGGTACTCTCAATTCAAATACTAATTAATCATTAACTTTTTTCGGCAAACAAATCGGTTTAGAACAATAACTTTCTACATAATAATTTTAAATTTACGTGGCAATTACAAACTGGTTGTTGGCAACTCGCAGACTGTAGGCAACTCGTTGTGCTGTGCAGCCTAACTAGTATTTATATTAACGATTATGTTTAAATCAGGATAGCGCCAAGTACGTAGGGATGTAACATACAATGTGGTTTAATTCAGACTCGTGAAGAAAATCGATTAGACTTTAAATAATTTCGCTTTACTCTTACAATCATATTCATGATTATACTATTTATAGAAGCTTCTTGCCTTTTATGGGTGTATTCATATTCGTTAAGGATAACCGACCATGAAACTTTAGGCCAAATCAATCTATAACATCGATGCATTGAGTCGAATTTACTTAATAGGATGAAGGTAAGAAAAAGAAGATCACATTCGAAAACCTTTGATGTTAATGTTATTATACAAAAAAAATACTTGACAGCTACAAATTTGTTAAAGGTAAAAGTTCCATTCTGATAATAGTCTGTCCCGATATTTAGAGAATATGGGTATACGATCCTATTAATTGCTTTAAATGGGCAATCAACTTTCAGCCCACTTTTAATTAAAAGGTAACTAAAGCATGGAGACATAATGTTAGTGCTAATACCATAAATTGCGTTCCACCACAGCTGGTCCATCATTCTTCAAACTATAACGCATAGTTGTTTCGTAGTGGAACTAGGCAAGATCCAATTCATACCGTGTAAGCCTCCAGGTGATGCCGCTATATTCACCTGACTGATCCATTGTAGTATTGCATTGACATTGTTAAATCTAAATGAGCGACGGCGACCACTCAGTAGCGACTGTAACTTCGTGTGCCTACGAATGAATTTCTTCGATAACCTTATCCTTCTCAACTCCTTTCTGGGGCATCCATCAAAGGAATCATGAGCTATCGCATGCAATACAAGTGTGCAAAAAATTCAATGTATTACTACTGTATCGAGACAGCCCTATTTGCCACTATGCATTAGTCTCTGCAGTCTTTTGCATATAACGTTGACGGGTAACACGTGTAAAAAATGTGTCGATAATATTTTATATCATACCGGTAATCCTCTGCGATTCACATTTATTAAATTTGTCAGCATATAACAATAATTTAAGATTTCACTTTTCATTTCAATATAAGCTGGGTTCATTAGCCTGCCGAGAGATACTCGGAGCATTTTAGCTGATTAACCTCAAACAAATTTTGTACCAAAACTTAATGAGTACATGCTCCAACATTCTCTCGCCTACAAGTCTTTGCACGAATTACAACTAAGCCCTTGAGAATTTTCCAGACAACCACACGCCCACTACATAATTCAAAACACGAAGCAAATTAATTTGTGTCCTGAGAGAATCGTAAGACTTGATATTTAATACTGAATTAGATCGTGACTTACCCCAAAATATTCTTGCCGTCAAAGAAAATCCAAAAAAAGAAATACCATTGATTGTTAACCAAAAATGTAGAATCAAAATCTTATATTCTCCACTTCTCGTGAATATACCAAATGTCAAGATAGATTAGGCATGCTTTACGATTACGTGTACTGTATAATAAGAATAATTATCATATTTAAAAAAAAGCAGGGACTGGCACGAGTTCGAGTCGAGACGGAAGGCTGTTTGTTCTGAAAGAAACGCGGGTAGGTTATTAAAAAAAAATTACAGTGAAATTTTAGCCTAATTTTTTTTTAGCCTAAAATTTAATTTTTATTTGAGTAACGATAATGAAACAAACTAATCTGCAATATTACTAAACAAATGTTCTAGGCTCAATGACCGCAAGCAAGAATTTTCTCTTGACTTATTTGTCCTAGAAATATCTTCCATAATGATTCGGAGTGAACGACACCCCGTAGACCCCTAGGTAAAGAAGACAATTCCCGAACCACTGGACCAACGAAGCCATTTAAATATATACAGCGTATTTATGTCTAACCACCGGCATCAGAGTTACGTGAGTAGACAGATAGAAAGATAAATTAGTACTTTATTTGGACAAATAAATGTTTATGCACAAACTAAAGAGAGGTAGAGAGACCCTCTCACACTTCAATGACGGCCACTTCACACAGAGCCAAGCGGTGACGCGGCATTGGAGAGATCACGGCCACTGTATTTTTTACGGTGTATTAAAACTTTAAACCATACATTAAAATTACAAACCAATTATCACTAGTTCCAAAAGAGTAAATTTTGCAGGCCAACAAATAACCGAGAGTCTGTTGTTCGTAACATTATTCTTACTTTTGTTTGTACTTATGAGAACTTCTGAGGTCTGGTTCGAAACATCTCAAAATGTATGCACTAATGAAACTATATTGTAAAATACAAAATTATAAACGAGAGATTAAACCATAACAATAGTTTTAATTATCTCCAAGACTCGCGAAAACCAAAAAATTCAATACATATTTTATTGTAACTATACTGAGACCATAGAACTTATATCTCAAGGTGGGTGGCGCATTTACGTCGTAGATGTCTATGGGCTCCAGTAACCACTTAACACCAGGTGGGCTGTAAGCTCGTCCACCCATGAAAGCACTAAAAATAATAATTTAAAACACACGAAAAATGTCTGCTTATCATATTTAGTTTAGATAAGATTCCGTGCTTTCTCGTGGATTTTGTTCTACCGCTATACACTAGTATTTAAATTTCAATCCACTATTAATTGCATAACTCCAGTTTGATTTCATCAGACCGTTAATGGAATGAAATGGTTTTCTTGCCCTCGTAAACCACAGATGCTATACGGAACGACATTTGAATCAGTGCTACTTCCGATTTGAGCTATATTGAATATAAACAATGCTGAATATAAACAATATTTCGTTCCTAATTATGTTTCAATCCATTCAAAGTAACTTGTAATTAATTGGCTTTAATGTAACTAATTAATAACAATTTATTTATTATGTAGCTGTATACTTATTTTAACTTTAAACTGCTTAAATAAACAAAATGAAAAAGAGCTGAAAATTAAGAGTCGCCAAGACAACATTTTAATTTAAAAAAAAGAACATCCAAATGATTCAACCGTAAAATTTGTTTTAAATATATATATATTTTTTATTAACAAAGGGTGCCATTCAAAACCATAACACGGGTTGAATTAATTCCACTTAGCTAAAAATATTGCCATCGAATTTCATGCTGCCACTAAAACTCAACAACTTCAAGACAAACTTATCCAATATCTACCGTTTCCGAATGAAACATCGCTAAGCTTAGCACAGACCTCGACATCGTAAAACTGTTACCGCGTAATTACTAGCTTACAGAATTATTCAAGATACGGAAAACCAAGCCTCCCGGGGCACTGACATTTGCATAGATAAAATAATTAAGTGAAAGTATAGCATTTTGACTCGTTTTACTATTGACTATTAATTTGCATTTGTTTCGTGCAACCAATATTTCAACGCATTGTATATCGGAAGTTATTTTTTTTATCGTTCCGGTAATTAAACCATTAGGTTTCTGTTTAAAGGGTGCAACAGTCACATAAAATTGAAACTTCGAAGTCGCTTCTCAAGGTCAATGCAACCCGCGTAATTACTGGTGGTAGAATCAACTTGTGAGTACACGCAGGTAGGTACCACAACCCTGCCTATTTCTGCCGTGAAGCAGTAATACGTTTCGGTTTGAAGGGTGGGGCAGCCGTTGTAACTATACTGAGATCTTAGAACTTATATCTCAAGGTGGGTGGCGTATTTGCGCTGTAGATGTCTATGGACTCGAGTAACCACTTAACACCAGGTGGTCTGTGAGCTCGTTCAACCATCTAAAAAAAAAAACCCGCATTAGCGTTGTGATGAATATGACACACAATATTAAAATTAAATCAAACAACGTAAATTCAAAAGCCGTCATCCGCAGAGAGAGGCGCGGTTATTGCTCATTACTGTAGAGCGGAAGTGCTGCGCGGAAATCGAACGCAGCCAGCTAACAAGGCGAACCGCTTTTATAACGTTACGATGCCATATGTTGGTATGTAATATTTTCTTTCTAAAATAAAATATGTTTTGGAACGAAATTTCTTATGGGACGATGCGGAGGGGTACCCTAACCGGGAAAAAACGTCCGTAACGTAAGATTTTTATTATTTATTTATAGTCTTAGTATGATGGCTATACCGTGTTCAATGTATAGTCTGCGTGATGACGGTTATTATTATTCATATAAATAGCTGTTTCTTTGTATATTATTATTATATATTTTTTATAAATCATTGTGAATACAATAAAGTTGATAACTTTGTAAAGTAGTTTTTTTTTTACCAATAAAAAATCGTATCGTTTGCAAGTCGCCGTGGCCTAAAGGATATGACGTCCGGTGCATTCGTATCTAGAGATGCACCGGTGTTCAAATCCCGCCGGCAAGTACTAATTTTTCTAATGAAATACATAGTTAGCAAATGTTCACGATTGACTTCCACGGTGAAGGAATAACATCGTGTGATAAAAAACAAACCTGCAATATTATAATTTTCGTAATTACTGGTGGAAGGACGCTTCGTGAGTCCGATCGGTTAGGTACCACGACCCTGCCTATTTCTACCGTGAAACAGTAATGCGTTTCGATTTGAAGGGTGGGGCAGCCGTTGTACTGCAAAAAACGGAAACCTTAGAACTCATCTCTCAAGGTAGGTGACGGTGTTTACGTTGTAGATGTCTATGGGCTTCGATAACCACTTAAAACCATCCGGAGGGCCGTTCACCCATCTAAGCAATATAAAAAAAATAAAAGTGTGAGCCAATTTTACATGGACATGCCAACCCTGAGTATCTCTACCCGCAGTAATCATCACTTGTTTTTCTACGTTAAAGGTTTCAAAGCAAATAATTTAGTTCTAACTTAGACCGCATGTCCCAATCTGAGTTACAGTAGTTGCGTTACACAATATAGGTCATAATTAACGTTAATCAATTCACCCATATCATCCATGAATTAATTCATTTTCATTT